AAAAAGAACAGGGGTGGACATGCTGATATCAGATAAAATAGAGGTTAAATCAAAATCTATTACAAGCGATAAAGAAGGACGTTACAGAATAATAAAGGGATCAATCCAGTAAGAAGACATAACAATTATAAATATATGTGTACCTAACATCAATGCTCCAAAATACATGAAACAAAAACTAACTAATACAAGAAGTTATCCACAATAATACTTGAGCACCTCAACACACCACTTTCAATTCTAGACAGATCATCTCACTAAGGACATTGAGAACTTAACTAAAACCGTAAGCCAATTTGACTTAATGGAAATATAGGTATATAGAACACTCCACCCATCATCAGAACGATATGCATTTTTCACCAGCACACATGGATCATTTTCCAGAACAAACCATATTGTAGGACACAAAACAAGTCCCAAAAAATTTAAAAAGACCGAAATCATACAGGGCATCCTCTCTGACCATAACAGTATGAAGGTAAAAATCAACAACAGGAAAAATAAGGGGGTAAAACAAGAAAGATGGATACTAAATAACATACTGCTAAAAACTACTGGGTTATAGGAGAAATCAAAAGTGAAATTAAAAAATTCTTACAGTCACATGAACATGAAAACACAACATATCAAAACTTTTGGGACACAGCAAAAGCAGTAGTCAGAGGAAAATTCATAGCAATAAATGTCTACATTAAAAAAGAAAAAAGATTGAAAATCAATAACTTAAAGCAACAGCTCAAACAAATAGAAAAATTAGAGCAAAAGAAGACTAACACTACCAGAAAAAAGGAAATAATAAAGATTAGGGCAGAAATAACTAAAATAGAAAATAGAAAAACAATAGAATCAACAAAATCAGAAGCTGGTTATCTGAAAGGATCAATGAAATAGATAAACCACTGGCTAGACTAACAAAAGAAAAAAAAACAGAAAGAGGCAAATAATCAAATTAAGAAATGAAACTGGAGACATTACAACAGATCCAAATAGATAAAGAGGATCATAAGAGATTACTAGGAAAAACTGTACACCAAAAAATTTGAAACTCTAGATGAAATGGACAAATTTCTAGAAACTAACACAGAGAGAGAAAATCTAAACAGACCCATTACAAAAAAGAGATTGAAGATGTCATCAAAAAATTGCCAACAAAAAAAATCCCAGGACCATGGCTACACTGGGAAATTCTACTAAACATTCAGAGAAGAGTTGATACCAATTCTTCTTAAACTCTTAAAAAAACAGAACACTCTCTAAATCCTTCTATCAATCCAGCATAACCCTGATATCTAAACCAGGCAAAGACATCACAAAAAAAGAACATTACGGACCAACATCCCTCATTAACACAGATATAAAAATTTTCAACAGAAGTCTAGCCAACAGAAATCAGCAACATATAAAAAAAAATACACCATGACCAAATGGATTCCTACCAGGTCTACAATGGTGGTTCAGCATTAAGAAATCAATCAATGTAATCCATCACATAAATAATACAAAAGAGAAGAACCATATAATTATACCAATTAATGCAGAAAAAACATTTGATAACATTCAACACCCTTTCTTGATTAAAAAAACCTTCAGCAAAATGGGAATAGAAGGGAAATTTCCAGGGCTTCGAACTAGATCCTTCAAGTTTGAAACCCTGCTGAGAATCTGCATTTCTAACAAGTTCCCAGGAAGTTATACATAAGAATCACCTGGGGATCTTGTTAAAATGTAGATTCCAATTCAGTATATCTGGAGAAGAAATGCAAATTCACAGCAGGAAACTTGTTAGAAATGCTAATTCTTAGCAGGGGTTCGAACCAGAAGGAACTGGGTTTGAAGCCCTAGAAATTTCTCAATATAATTAAAAGCATATAGGCAAAACCAACAGCAAACATTATACTCAATGGAGAAAGACTGAGAACCTTCCATTTGAGAATGGAAATGAGACAAGTATGCCCATTAATCACCACTTGTATTTAATATTGTACGGGAAGTCCTAGCCAGTGCAATAAGGAAAGAAAGAGAAATAAAAGGTATCCAAATTAGAAAGGAAGAAGTAAAACTATCTCTATTTGTAGATAACATGATCCTATACATAGAAGAACCCAAAGATTCCACAGGAAACTACTGGAACTAATAGAAGAATTCAGCAACACTGCAGGGTACAATATCAACACACAAAAATCAGTTGGGTCCTTTACACTTAAAAGGAGTATTCCTGAAAAAAAAAAAAATCGAGAAAACAATACCATTTACAATAGCCTAGGAATTAACCTAACCAGTGACAGAGAATACTTATACAACGATAGACCAATGGAATAGAATTGAGAATCCGGAAATGAATCCAGCCATCAATGGAGAAATGATTTTCTACAAGGGTTCAAAGTCCATTCAATGGGGCAGCAACAGTCTCTCTAGTAAATTGTGCTGGCAAAACTGGATATCCACTTGGGTAAAAATGAAGCAGGACCCATACCTCACATTATACACAAAAGCTAACTCAAAATTGATCAAAAACCTAAATATTAAACCCAAAACTGTAAAGTTCCTGGAAGAAAACATAGAGAGAAAACTATGGGTCCTAATCTTATGTAAAAATAGGATAACAAACATTAAAAATAAATGCAAGAATAGTAGAAGACAAAACAGATAGATAGAACCTCATAAAAATTAAAAACTTATGCTCATCAAAAGACTTCATGAAAAGAGTAGAAGGCAACCTACAGTCTGGTAAAAAAATCTTTGGAAGCAACATATCTGATAAGGGTCTAATCTATAAAATATATAGAAAACTTCAACAACCCAACAACAAAAAGACAAACAACCCAATTATAAAATGGGCAAAGGACATGAGCAGAACCTTCACCAAGCAGGACATCCAAGCAGCCAACAAACTCATGGAAAGATGCTCTTGATCATTAGCCATTAGAGAGACACAAATGAAAATGACAATGAGATGCCACCTCACCTCCAGCTAAAACTGCACTGATAAAAAAAAAAAGATAACAAATGCTGGTGAGGATGTGAGGAGATTGGAACCCTTATTCATTGTTGGTGGGACTGTAAAATGTTGCAACTACTATGGAAAGCAGTATGGTGTTTCCTCAAAAACCCAGAAATAAAACCACCCTATGATCCAGCAATCCCACTCCTATTTGTATACCCTAGAGACCTAAAAGTAGGGACACAAATATGTCTATGTGCACACCTATGTTCTTTACTGCTTTATTCACAATAGCAAAAAAACAGCAACAACCGAAGTGCCCATCAATGAAGGAATGGATAAGCAAAATGTGGTACATACACACAGTGAAATACTATACAACCATAAAGACAATGATGAGTCCACGAAACATATTATAACATGGATGGACCTAAAGGGCAGAATGCTAAGTGAAATAAACCAAGCACATAAGGACAAGTATTATACGATCCCTCTTTTATCAGAATATAAGAATAGATATGTATAAAGAGACTAACGTTCATTGGTGGTTACCAGGGGGATGAGGGGGGAGGAGGAATCACACTCTAGATCTTAAATACTTGTTACTCTTGGTGATGGGAAAAGTGGCACCAAATGTGGGGGCAGTGAGCACAGCAAGACCAAAGTAAATGACATCACTGAGAAGTGCTCACGAGAAAAGGATGCCCGTACCAAAGAATTTGACATGTATAAGATGGCAACAACTCCGACAAAGACCAAAAAATGAGTCTAGGATCCCATATGGATGGGTATAGGCATATAGGTATACAAGTAGGTACAGGTGTATACATATGTGAGAATAGACAGAAGTATTTATATGTATGTGCAGATACAGATATGTTGGGCAGACACATATATTCACTGAAGACACAACTGCAAATACTCCTCAGACATAACCAAACACCTTCCAAGATTGGTTTACTAGGTATGAAGGCTTAGGACCATAGTCTCATGGGACAGCTCAGTCAATTGGCATAACACAGTTCACAAAGTTCATGTTCTGCATCCTAGTGAAGTGAGTAGCGTCTGGGGTCTTACAAGCTTGAGAGTGGCCATCTAAGATACAACTATTGGTCTCGACTCGTCAGGAGCAAAGAAGTAAGAAGGTGACCCAAATCTCAGAGAAAAAACAAGTCTACAAGGCTGATAACCTACATGAGCCATAGCCTCATCTACTCTGAGACCAGAAGAACTAGATGGTGCCCAACTACCACCACTGACCATTCTGACCAAGGTCACGATAAATGGTCCTGGAGAGAATGGAAGAAGAATGTAGACCAAAAGTCAAATTCTTAAAAAAAAAGTCCAGACTAACTGGACCGGATGAGACCAGGGGACTCCCTAAGACTATCATCCAAGACACTCTTTAAACCTCGTACCAAAACTATTCCCTGAGATCACCTTTCAGCAAAATAGCAGAGTGGCACACAAAATAAAGGATAGAATCTGTAAGAAGAGTGCTGTATCAAAAAACCATCTGTATGACACAAAAAGGTCACCAGTTACTTTAAAGCAAAGATAAGAAGGTAAGGGGACAGGGAAACTAGAGTACTGGAAATGGAACAACCAGAACACAATTAAAGAAAATGTTATCACACTGTGAAAAATGTAACTAATGTCACTGAACAATTTTTGTGGAAATCACCAAATGGGAACATAACTTGCTGTGTAAATGTTCACCAAAAAATATTATTTAAAAAAAATCCTTGTGTAGCATAACAGGAAGTCAATAAATAGTGTCTAAGATTAATAAATCAAGAAATGGCAAAAATAAAAATGGAAAGATGTTTTCAATATTTCACTGTGTTATGGAATTGTTTCATTTTCAGTGATTTCATAAATTATACATGGACAATGTATTTTAAAATGCAATAAGTATCTTACACTCACTTGAAATCATTTTCAAGTAATTTATGAGGTTCGTTTCTGTATGCGATCTGTTAAGATTCGCAGCAACATGTCATAACTGGCATAATTCACACTCTGACAGACTGTGTTTTCTAATAAAGAAACATACCCAGATGCTCCCCTCTCGTCGAAATTGCTTCCAGTTCCTCCCGCTGTCACTGAACATCAGGAGGTAGCTGGTCACCCAGTCGGAGCTCCCATATCCTCCTTGGGTGGCCACGGCCGTGACCTCTATTCTCTCTCCAAGGTCAATCTGCAGCCACTGATATTTATTTGACACGAGTGGGGACCAGCCACCAGCTCCTTTTTGTGGAAATAGAAACAAGAGGAATGGTAGAAAGAAAGAAATATTTAAAATCTATATTATCCTGCAAGAATGTGAACATAAAGGAAATTTAGGAAAATCACAGTTTCATAATCTGGAATATTTAACTTATCATAATTACACTTATAAAAAAAAATAAAGAAAATCACAAATTAAGTGTAAGTGAATGAAGCTTACCTTAATTTCTTTCTTTTAGAGGCGGTAACCCCTGACTCTGGTGTTTGGAGGTCCCACTAAGAGGTAAAAGTGCTTAATTGGATAAGTGGGCAACCCAACACCATGCCGGCCATGTCAGTGTTTAGAACTAGGATCTTTACTGGCCTTTACGCACGACCAGCCCTTTGCTGTACATAAGGGAAAATGCTGAGACCATGGCAGAACTAGGAAACCATAATTCGAGATTCCTGAAAACTGGAAGTACAGTGTCGAATACTAGAATAAGATGGCTGAGACACAGCCCTGCACTCAAGGTGTTTACAGACTCATAGGAGAAACAGACATTTCAAAGAAAGATTCCAAATGCAGTATGGCAGAGGGTGGCAGGAGGTCGCCGGGAGGAGGCTGGTTCTGAGCAGGGAGGGAGAGCTCTAGAAGGGCAGTAGGGAGTTGCAGGGAAAGCCCCATCGAGAGAGGGGTGCCTCAACTGTTAGGAATGATAAGCAGATTGCCAGGTATTCAAGACAACAGGTGCATAACCACAATTACTGTGCTTTCTCTTTTCCAGTGCTCATCTGTGGGGTTTAGAAATTAACCTTGCCCAGAGAATTTGGTCTTTATCCTCCACTCCTGAGAGATCATCTCTAGAATCTTTTGACAAGGACTGCACACCACACCTGACAGGTTTTGCCAGTGAGGTGACTCTGGGGTGGGCTGGTCAAGTCAGAGGGACCCACCTCCTGATATCACCTCATAATGACCACTTGATGATAACATGGCAACAATCCTCAATACAAGCTCTGGACATTAATCTCCATGACTCTCCATGGTTGGCCAAAGACCTCTGCTCTCGGGAAGGTGATGTATTCTTTTATGGATGCAGAGGCTTCATGCTGGGAACCCTCCCAGATCTCACTCTCTGCGACTCTTCTTTGTGTTGATCCTGATTTGTATATTTTATAACAAAGCTGTGGAGCCTTGGTGGCGCAGTCGTTAAGAGCTCAGCTGCTAACCAAAAGGTCGGCAGTTCAAATCCCCCAGCCGCTCCTCGGAAACCCTATGGGGGCAGTTCTACTCTGTCCTATAGAGTTGCTATAAGTCGGAATCCACTCGACAGCAAAGGGTTTGCTCTTTTGGTTTATAATAAAGCTGTAATCCTAAGTACGGTGCTTTCCGTGAGTTCTGTGAGCCATTCTAGAGAATTCTCGAGGGAGTCACGGGAGCCCGCAGGTCGGAAGTGAGAGGAGCCTTCAGTTCTCCCCAGCTTGTGGCTGGTGGCTGAGGTCTTGGGCAGACCTGGCAGGTTGGAGGACTGTGTCCTTTAATGTATGAGCTCTGACCTAGTTCCAGGTAGTTAGGGTCAGAGGAAGAGGCACTGTACGTGCAGAACTGAAGCTGCAGGGAAGTGAAAAGTGGGGTGTTTGATCTATGTTGATATTACTATCCTCCTAATGTCAGAACAGAAGAATTAGGAGTGTCTGAGGAGCCCTGGTGGCGCAGTGGTTAAGAGCTCAGCTGCTAATCGAAAGGTCAGCCTTTGGAATCCACCAGCCGCTCCTTGGAAAACCCTATGGGGCAGTTCTACTCTGTCCTATAGGGTCGCTATGAGTCAGAATCCACTCGATGGCAAGGGGTTTGGTTTGGTTTTTTTGGAGGATGCATTGTTGATGTGTTTTATTCTTCTGGTTTGTTAGAAACATGAGTTTTTTTATTTGCATTTCAACTTGCCATATAGAATTTTCTGATTTTAAAGTAATATGTCAACATTCTAAAAACTCGGAAATAAGTTTTAAAAAAAATTCTTGAACCGTTATCTCTCTAAATAGTCAATATCTAGAAACAGAGTATCTTTTAAAGAATCCCTAATATAAAGAAACTAATTTTTTTTTTTAACTTTTCCCCACTGTTCTGACATCTAACTTGAGGCTCCAATAATAAGGTCTGACATTTTAAACAAAATGTACTCTTATTAATTTATTTATTGACATTATGTATCTATCTTCTCAGTGCCCTAGTAGCGTAGTGGTTAAGAGATGGGCTGCTCACCAAAAGGTCAGCAGTTCGAATCCAACAGCTGCTCCTTGGAAACCCTATGGGGTAGTTCTACTCTGTCTTATGGGGTCGCTCTGACTTGACAGCAATGGGTTTGGTTGATGGCGGTGTGTCTTCTCATTAATAGCAAACACCCATGCCCTGCTTTGCAAAGCCATTAGTACCTTGCCGAGTGGAAAGTACTTGTCCAGAGATGTTTGACATGATTACAAGACAGTCTGGCAGGAAGTGGACAAGTGGGGCACACCCACTGGGATACCTGGAGGTGTCAGCAGGAAAGTGTAGACACACCTGTTTGTTGGCTACATCTTTGTTACAGCACCACATGATCTACTGCTTCCTTGTTGTTGTTGCTAGTTGCTGTGGAGTCGCTCAGACTAGTGGCAACTTTATACACAATGGAAAGGAAACATTGCCCAGTCCCGCGCCATCTTTATGGTTATCGGTATGTCTGAGTCCATTGTTTCAGCTATTGTGTCAATTCATCTCATCGCGGGCTCTCAACTTCACCAGCCTTACGTCCTTTTCTAATAACTGGTCTTCCCAGATGACACGTCCAAAGTAAACTCCAAAGCTTGAGAATCCTGGGATCTTTCTGAGATTTCCTCATTTCCTGCAGTGAATCTTGGTTCAAAAGTATGTTTTCCTCTCATTGTACCACAAGCAGAAGGCTTTTCTCTTTGCTCCAGATTCTTAAATGTGCTGTGGTTTTTGTTGTTATATAACACATTTTTTAACTTGTTACATTAAAATAATTTCAGATTTATAGAAGAGTTGCAAAGATAGTATAGGGAATTCCTGTATACACTTAATCCTGCATTACCTAATGTTACCATCTTGCATAACCATGGTACACTTATCCAAACTAAAAAATTCACATTGATACAATGCTACTAATGAAACTACACACTTTACTTAGATATCTCTAGTTCTCCTACTAATAGCACCATTATTAATAAAATAATAATAATAATTAATTTTATAATTATTGCAAAGAAAGTTAGGAATGAGTTGTCACCATTTGACTGATCATTATAACTTGGAGGCTCTGCACTTGAAATTGTATATGAATCACATTAAATCTCTGAGAAATTACTAAGTGTCCTGTTTCCACGCTCGTACGCGTTGTTGTCATCAAGTCAGTTCCAACTCGTGGGAACCGTAACAAAATGTTGCCCAGTGCTGCCCCATCGTCATGATCCTTGGTATATTCCAGTCCATTGTTGTGGCTACTGGGGACTGCCTTCATCCATAATGTTCTCATTGACTAATTTTTGAAAGATCACCAGGCCTTTCTTCCTAGTCTGTCTTAGTCTGGAAACTCCACTGAAACTTTTCTGCTAGTATTTGAAATATTGGTGGTGTAGCTTCCAACATCATAGCAACACGCAAGCCACCACAGTACAACAAACTGACAGTTGTAAAGAATGTATTGATGGTAGAGTTTTTTGCATTTCACAGTCTTTCTGTGGTATTTTTATTCCTTCTTAAAGCTAGGAAAGATAATTAACATAGGTGTCCATGTACAGAAGCACTACAGAGAAAAAGTATCAGTGTGTTTCTAGCTGATGCCCTAGGACCGTGTGTACTGTACTCATGAGGAGAAACCCAATCACTCCCACAAACGCAGCTTTATTCCTGCCAACCAGCTGTTAATATCTGCAGTTAATCCACCTCGAACATTTCACATTCCTCACCTATGGCAAAGAGGTACTACTGGCATACAAATTAAGCTCTTTTGTTAACAAGAGCCAAAATCCAAACTTGTTGCCTTCGAGTGGATTCCGACTCATAGACACTCTACAGGACAGAGTAGAACTGCCCTGTAGGGTTTCCAAGGAGCGGCTAGTGGATTCAAACTGCTGACCTTTTGGTTAGCAGACGAGCTCTTAACCACTGTGCCACCAGGGCACCAATAAAGTAACAAAACTTCGGATTCTGCTGTGCTATGAGGCAATTCATTTCAACAGGATAACAGAGTCGTGGGAGTCTCAAGATTCCTGCTGGGGGACAGTGCTGAGCCTCTGTGCATTCTCCCATGCCTACTGTCCATGCATGCTGCTGGGGATGACACTTTTCCTAAAATTTAATAAAATGTTGAATGGAGAGAGTGGGAAATAAAAAAACACCAACCTGAGGGCTGTTAGAAGCATGGCACAGTTTTAATGGCCAGTATGGGAAACCACTGTAGTGTCTCGGGGTGGTGCAAATGGTTAACATGCTCCACTGCTAACCAAAGGTTGGTGATTGAAGTCCACCCAGAGGTGCCTCGGAAGAAAGGCCTGGAAATCTACTTCTGAGAAATCAGCCATTGAAAACCCTGTGGAGCACAATTCTACTCTGACACACGTGGGGTTGCCATGAGTCAGAGTCAACTTGATGGCAACTGGTTGGATTGGTTTATGGGAGATTGCTGTTGTGTAATGGAAAACAAACACAAAATACACTGATGCTGGGGTCGGAAGAGGTGGGCTTATTACTGTGGCTACTACCACAAAGTAACAGTGCACGTCGTTAGATCTTAAACTAAACCCATCAGCCTAATGGTTGATAGCGTCTGCCTAAATAATGCTGCAAATCTTTGATGAAGAAAACACCACATGGGAACCAACAACCCCTGAAATACAGCGGTAGCATTAATTGCTATTCTTTGATTACTAATTCTTTTATTATTATTATTTTACTGCAGGCATTTTAACCAGTTTTAAGTGTCTAACTGTGTGGCATTAATTATATCTACAATGTTTTATAACCACCACCACGATTTATTTCCAAAACTTTTCCATCACCCCATAAAGAAGTCTTTACCTATTAGCAGTCCCTCCCCATTCCTCCCTTCTCCTAGTCTCTGGCAAACACTAACCTACTTTCTGTTTTTATGGTTTTGTCTATCCTGGATATTTTATGTACATGGAATCATAGAAGATGTATGTCTGGCTTCTTTTATTTAGCATTATGATTTCAAGGTTTATCCATGTTGTAGCATATATTTGAATTTCATTCTTTCATAGGGCTGAATAACATTCCATTGTATGGACATACCACAGTTTGCTTATCCATTCATCTGTTCACAACTTGGATTGTTTCCGCTTGATGGCTATTGTGAATAACGCTGCAATAAACATTGATATACAAGTATCTGTTTGAGTCCCTGCTTCCAATTCTTCTGTGTAGATTCCTAGGAGGGGAATTATCTTTGAGGAACCACCAAACTGTTTTCCACAGTGGCTATGCCATTTTACAAACCCACCAGCAATGGATGAGGGTTCCAATTTCTCCATATCCCTGCCAACACTTGTTATTTTCTGATTTTTTTATTATGTTCATCCTACTCCGTCTGTGGAGTCTCTGGATGGTAGAAACAGTTAACATGCTCACCTGCTAACCAAAAGATTGGAAGCTGGAGTCCACCCAGAGGCATCTCCAAAGAAAGACCTGGCCATCTACTTCCAACGTATCAGCTGTTGAAAACCCTATGGAGCACAGTTCTACTCTGACACACATGGGGTCACCATGAGTCAGGCTGGACTCGATAACATTTTGTTTTGTTTTGTTATTTTTTAATTGAGTGTGAAGCGGGATCTCATTGCAGTTTTGATTTGCATTTCCCTAACGACTAACGATGCTTGAGCATCTTTTCATGTGCTTTATTGGCCATTTGTATGTCTTCTTTGGAGAAAAGCTTATTCAACTTTATTTCAGTTGGGTTGTCTTTTTGTTGTTGA